CCTGTGTGTGCGCACGTACAAGCATCTGTCGCCTGTGTGTGCGCACATGTACAAGCATCTGTCGCCTGTGTGTGCACACGTACAAGCATCTGTCGCCTGTGTGTGCACACGTACAAGCATCTGTCGCCTGTGTGTGCGCACGTACAAGCATCTGTCGCCTGTGTGTGCGCACATGTACAAGCATCTGTCGCCTGTGTGTGCACACGTACAAGCATCTGTCGTCTGTGTGTGCGCACACGTACAAGCATCTGTCTTCTCTGTGTGTGCGCACATGTACAAGCATCTGTCTTCTCTGTGTGTGCGCACGTACAAGCATCTGTCGCCTGTGTGTGCGCACGTACAAGCATCTGTCGCCTGTGTGTGCGCACACGTACAAGCATCTGTCTTCTCTGTGTGTGCGCACATGTACAAGCATCTGTCGCCTGTGTGTGCGCACGTACAAGCATCTGTCGTCTGTGTGTGCGCACACGTACAAGCATTTATTGCACATGCCTCATATGCATCTCTCATTGTATAGGCAAAATATATGTTAGAGTCATCAAAGTGTCCTTTCTAATGTTTTCTACTATGTTCTTTGGGGTTATCTCTACCTTTCATTATTTTGAGCTATTTTACAGATATATTAGTTGCAAAAAACTGATCATGATGCATGTTATTCTTGATCATAGAAATACACATTAGTTATTCAATAGAATGCAACTGTTCATTGCCCTAAAAAGAGAGCATTTATTTATAAATTCATTTCAGCATTTCTTATATTTTTCTATATGTGTGATATTTTAAATTCTTCCATGAATTGTAGTAACATCTTGTCCCCCATCAATGAATGACCTAAACAAATTCTTTGACATGTTTTCATTTTATATATGTGTCATCATTATGTTCTTTTTAAAAAATTTATCTTTAAATACTTCCTTTCCTTCTTTTTCTTTCTGCTATTCAAAACAAAACTATATAATGGAATATAATGGAAAGAGGAGAAAAATCCCTGTATATTTTCCTATGTCTGGCCATCCTTTCCCTTCTTTCAGCCTGGAAAGGAATTTGAATATATTGCAGTTTATTTGGAGTTTTCTAGCTTGAAAAACAGATTCATAATCTTTTTTTCAAATTCATAGTTTTTAAAAATTGGTTTGTGGGACGTTTTACTTGCTATTGAAGATTATGAAGAGAATAATAGAGATAGAGTTATTGATTTTAAGTAATATTCCTTTGACTGCTGTAAAGAATTATGATTATAAATTATTCAGCACTTCAGCACACATGAGTGAAAATCAACTTTAACTCATACACTTTTAACATTTTCATACACTCAAAAAATAAAGATATACATTAAGTAGACATAACATGACTTACTTTAATTGATCAGAATATATTGTTTATGACTTACAGATAAAAGAAATGGTGCTTTCTATTAGCCGATTAAAACCAAAAGAAAATTAAAATAAGTTCACATTTTAAAAAATTATAAGCAATAATTACAGCACTACACCTACCACTAACTCTGTGTACACTGGACTACAGCTGAGCAAACGCAAGTTCCAGAATGGACATTTTACAAATAAATGCACTGGAAAATAACTTTGGAAAATTCTAAAAGGACAGATTAGAATTCTTTTTAATTAAAATGTAACTTTCACAAGTACAGAAAAATAGCAGATCTACATTTTGAAGGTTAGAAATTCCCCCAATTAGTTTTTAGATACCAAAAAAGTTTCTTTTTAAAAAGTTTTGATTTTATCTTTTTTTCATAAGTAAGCCATAAAGGAGATCTTAATTAGCACTTCAGCTTTAGAAAAGTCTAATATTTAAAAATATTACTCATAAAAAAATATGGGTACAAAAATTACACTGAGTAACTATTGGATGCTTTCATTTGAAGACTACAGCAGTTGATTTTTGGCCAGAAAGGAAATCTGATCTGAACTTAATATGATAAAAGCACAATGAAAAATACTGGAAAATTACATATAACTTTAATAGAATGCTCGTGGAGAATCTGACATTTTCTGCGCCGTTTATGGTTGACACTTGACAGTTTGGAAGAATGAGGAAATATGTGAACAGTATTGTGCAAAGGATCTGAATCTGTGTCTTTGAATAGTAATAGCTAAAAAGTGTGTTTACTTAAAGGAATTTTTGTATAATTTAGATAATAGCAAGTCCAGAACAGCCTAATTCCTTCTTAAGACAGTTGCTATAAAACCCACAAATTTGAAACTAACAGTAAAACCTTTGCATGTATACAGATAAATTATAAATCTATTGACCAGACCATTTAATATGTTAATTCTTGCTGATTTAGGTGATTTTCCTGGACAATTTCAAATGACTTCTGAACTCACAATCCATTGACAGCTTAAGAAAGAAGCTATGATTACTAAGTCATTAGTTTAATCCATTTTAAACAAATTAACACACTGGGAAAACACGTACACATAGTGAATCCTCCTCAAATGGACTTTTACTAATCGAAGGCATTTTTGTTTTCCAGAAATTTGAGTGGAAAATAACATTAGGGAACATGAATCCCATTTACATGTCACTTTAATTCATTAGCAAGGGTTTCTTCCATCTTCGTCACTCCCTGAACATTCTGACAAGTCTTCCTCACTGACAGATTCGAGTCTTTCACTGACTTGTTAGTATCGTATTATCACAGCGGCTCTATTAAAGCATCGTAGATGACATATACACATCCATCGTATTCCTCTAGTTGTGTTTTTAAAAAATAGTCTGGAAAATTTCCAAAGCCATATATATTTATACAGTAAGAGTCAGAAAAGTAATATTTTTACTGGTGTAAAAACCGTAAGAGTGGCACTTTGACATTGATTACTATAGGAATCCTTTAAAGCTTCTGGATTAGAATGCAAGTTCATCGTCCAAACAAAAGGAGAAATATGTCAAACATACTTATTATTAAGTTATTAAAGAATGACCTAAGCTAATGTAATAAAACTTGAGTTTTTTTTAATAAATATTTTATATCGTATCACAGATATTTCTATTCTCTTGGTTCTCAAACTTCTGATGCTGGCATCTGGTTGTCCTTAAAATATTTACCAAATATAGAATTCCAGACTCTGTTTTATTATAAAATCAGCCCAGACACAGTATCAGATATCAACAAGCATACATTGTTACATCATGTATTTGTTTCTTAAACTTATCTAGATTATATGCATTTGATTTAAGACTATAAAATAGAATAACAGAGTATTAACAAGCTTATTTTCACGACACTTTTTTTTTTTACAAACTTCCAAGAAAATTAGAAATCCTTCCCTGATTTCCTTCATGTAAAATAACTGCTAATTTGTCTACACAGTAGAAATGGAAGGGGCAAAGTTTCTATTTACGAATACAGGGAAACTGATTCCCTCCCACTTGTGTAGTAAGATAGGAAAGTAGCTGGCAAGTTGTTTGCAACGTCAACCAAGATGTCTCCCTAGTGATAGCAAAGTAGGATTGCACGTCCTACGTACTATTCACCGAATCTCAAAATCAGATGCCATCGGCTATAACTGCTACACCAGCCAGTGGATAGCCAATAGCGGTTCTGTCCAGTCACTTCTCTTGGAGAGAAAAGAGTAAGCCAACAGAAATAATTACTTCTCTCTCCAGTCCATTTGAAAGGGTAAATACAGAAAGGGCTAGAATACTTACTGGGGAGGAAAAAAAAATCAACTGCATCAGTGAATATGGGATAAAGATTTTAAAAACAAACAAATGAAAAGCTAGTTTTCCCTTGGAGTCTGGAGGCCTTACCTAGCTCTCATTAGTCAGTAGGAGTAGAAGCATGTCCAATGTGTCTATGAACTTTTATAGTTCTACTTATTTGTGAATTCATGCGTGGTATCCTAGAGCTGGTACATCCCAGCCTATAAGAGTTGATTGTACTCATATTTTCCCAATTTCACATTCAGGAATGTCAGATTTGTGGCCTGAAATCAACCACGGTGGGAATACACCACAGAAACTGGAAAACATTACAAATCCGGGTGTTTTTGTTTTTGTTTTTTCTCCCAAAGAGCTAGCTGTTAAATATTTAACAACACACTACTGAATCAATGTGTGGGTTTTCTTGGTGGCATTCGAGACATTCATTGAATAGTGAAGTCTTCTGGTTGTAAAGTCATGGATTCAAGTCCTTTAGTTAGGAGTGGCACAAAACAGTTACACAGTAGTCCCTCAATCATCAGTCATATAACTTTTCTGGTTTTAAGACAACATTTTCAATATCAGGGATGCTTTTTCCATTTAAGTGTTCACTAGGACAGTCATGACTGTAACCTGTACCATCACTGATAGTCGACACCGTGTAAGACGCGCTTCGGAGAGCATCTGTATGGGAAAAGCTGTTACCAAATTGGATTTTGTATTGATTCCAATTTCTTTTCAGAATTGCTTGAACCTATCAACCAAAAAGAAACAGAAAGGATAAGAGCAATCCATTATCTGAAATAAATATATTGTATTTAAAAGCATAATGAAATAATTTATGTAAAACTTAAAAGCATTGATGTTAATGAATAATATTGCTTTATTTTCTTAATTAAAAGAATTAAATTGGTAACATTAGGAAATTTACCTTTAGGAAATTCATTGCATTATTCTTTACTCTTAGATCCCATTAATATTTTGTATGCTTTATCTTTGAAGCTTTAATAATGCAGATGAATGTAATATTGTCAAATAAGTAGTTAATCCAGACCCCCATTTCCAAGGTTGCATGTGTAACATTTAGTTTTATATCAGTATCTTAATAATAGAATGAGAAGACAATTAGTGAAAGTACAAAAGGAAAGAGAAAAGAGATTTTAAAAAAAAGAAGTTAGGGATACAGGGACTATAAACCTTCATCATCATCATTAAAACCAGCAACTACTTTTTATTGAGTGATTATCATGTGCTAAGTATTGTGTTACATTCTGGAAAAAAAGGAGGTTTTTTATTTTTTTTTTTTTTAGGGTTTTTGTCCTCCTGAAGCTGACTCCCCAGAGGAAAGAAAGTGTTGAACAGGTAATTACAAATGGGATTGGGCTGTGAAAAAGTTTAGGAATGTCACCACTCCCCTTTCTGATGTTTGGATCCCCCTCTAACTGGGTGAATCTGATAATTAATGACTTCCTTCTTCTCTAGGGCTAGAGATCACGTCTGGTAGGCCGTGTGACTCTGGTTTTAATTGAGCATGAGACACTAAGGTGTTTTTCTTCACATTGAGTCAGTAAGCAGAAATGAGAATATTCAAACACACCTCCTACTTGGTAACCTGGATATTTCCAGGTATCTGATGACTGAGAAGACCAGTGCAGGTCTGTCTGCTCCTACTTTACCAGTATAATAGCCACATCCCTGTGACCTAAGCTAGGTCAGTACAAAACATGTCTGGTTTTGAATTGTCTTCCCTAAGCTCTCTACAGCTCTTTGATGCTATGATTGCTTCCTCCGAGGCAATCTGAGCATCACTAAAAGCAATTTTCTAGTAACCCATGCACTAGAAAGACACACATGCAATAATTGTCTACCTTGCTACTAGTTATGTAGAATCCCTCAACTTTCCTTTCACTGTATTCATGTGTAAAAAATAGTATTAAACTCTAAAATAGGGCTGGTTTACTTGTCTACATTCTTTTCCCTAATAGATCTAGAAAACTCCAAATTATGAGTCATCTCTTAGTAATAGCTACTCCAGGAGCTCTTTTAGTGAGAGGACTCTGTGGGACACTCAAAAGCCCTTGTAGAGTCCCCTGTACTTCATCACTTAAAATGAACACAAAGTTTTACTGTGTCACTTTGTGTTTTAGCATATAGAAAAATGGGAGACAAAAATACAAAGTCAATGGGTTTCTTTAGTTAGAATTCAGAATTAGTTATTAGAATTTCAGGTATTAATTATGTAATTAGAAATGAAATAAATGTGTTTTAAAAGTTGTATTTTTATGAAATTCAGAACCTCAGGACTTTTAAGCTTATTTATATATAAACTGTATCTGAAGGAAATAATTTATATCCTTGTAAATTTTCTTTGAAATAAAAGCATTTATAGGACAACAAATACATTTACGTTGCAAAAAAATTATATACTACCGCTTCGCTCATGGTTTAGTAATGTGTTTCTTAATTCTCCAATTAGCATGTTTAAACTACAGTAAACTTAAAATAATATCTGCATATGTAACATCTTCGCAATCATAAGCAAATGACAAATGGAATGGCTTTAGAGTATGCTTTTTAAATAAATATTCAAAGGTTTACAACAAAAATTACCTTTGGTCAATTATCTAGATACTTCTGATGTGAATTGCTTTTGATGCTGATTTTCTGCTAAATTCATTTCTCTTCACTTTGTTCTAAATGACGGAGACTTACTGAATGCATTTACTATATGGTTTCCGTTTGAAAGGAAATGGAGTGTAACTTTATACAAAATATTCTCCATCAGTGTTGGGAAGCAGCTGATAAGAAGAAATATCTTAGCTGTGAATGTAATAATTATGTTCTTTAAAATGAAATGAATTCAGTGAATTCAATTCCAACAGTCAAAATGACTTTTGAAATATCTGACTTCTCTTGAAATCTCTGTTTTGATTGCAATCATCACCCTATTTCTCCCTTACGACTGAATCATCAGAAAAACCATGGAAGTTCAGTTTCCTGAACTGTGGGGCTTATTTATTGAAATTAAAAATGAACCTAATTAAAGCACGGGCCTTGTAGGCATTTGTTGGTGTTATTGTCTGTAAGGATTTGTTTTTCATCGGCTCCTCTAACGCAGCGTCATACCTGTCCAACAGAACACTGAAGTGGCCACTCAATACACTTTCAAAGAGAAACTATAATGAGGAAGGAGAACAAGGAAATTGCTGTTGGAAGGGAAGGTGGCCTGACATTATTAAAGATATGAAAATATTTTTTAATATTGTTTTACACGCGAGTTATACAAATAGTGAGGCCGACTGTTTTTAGAATGTAACAACTTCATAGGCCCATTAGCAGTTGATAAGGAATCAACTCTATACTCCTCATCCTAAGTTAATGAAAAAATAATAACTAGAGCTTCATATAAAAATGCTACCTGGTTCTCATTGTAGAACATGGGTTTGGTTATTCTCAGTAAATCTTTTGTTCATTTTTTACACTTTATAAAGTACCTTCCTCAGGTGTCATTAGATTTACCTCCAAGGCCAGGAAGGACCCTTCCAATAATCTCTAGTTGATGCTAACAGTCCACATTTTTGGCTGTGTGGGCTGAAGGTGAGATGAATGTGGCCTGAGCATTTGTCGTGCCTCAATTATTTAACTAGTGAGAATTGTAAATAGGAATATTTTGGCTAAAAAATAGACACAATGCGAGAGTCAAAAAAATAAAAAGAAGAAGAAGGAGGAGAAGAAAAGGGGTAGAAATTAAGGTAAAGGGAAGCTCCTTGACCTCCCACGGAAAGCAAGGAGGAAACGTAAGCCTGAGCAATTGATTTTAAGAACTACATGACGTAGTTGGAACCACACAAAATGAATCTGGCAGCTGTGTCTCCATGTTATGAGAGTGGGAAAAACTAAGAGGTGAAGAGACAAAAAAGGAGGGATTATAGAATTTCTTAAGATGAGAAATGAGTCATGCACACGTAGGAACTGTATCCTGAGAGATGAAGAAAAGGGGACGCATATTGGAGATGTTGTAAAGAACCAAAGGATTTGGCAACAACGAGGCTCAAAAGATTTTGTATTATTGTAATTTTTACTGCCAAAATTTTCTCAATTTTAGGACATGGCAGAAGATCACAGTCTATGTCTCTTTTGCTTGCACAGAGAGAGTGCAACCAGAGTGTCAGACATTGGGTTAGATATTCCCTGGGCAACCTTCCCAAATAAAAAGTCCGACCTGAGATTGACTCCAACATGATTAATGCTCCCATTCGTATTTGTATTCTTGAAAATGGATGATTTGACAGATCTAATAAGGAGTCTATAAGGTCCTGGTGATCCACTCAGAGTGGGTATGGTGCTAAAAGCTCTAGATTCCTCACGTCCACTGATCTTTGTGAGACTTGCGTAAGGAACTTCCTTCATTTCCTTTTAATAAAAGTAGACCCTGAGGCTCCGAGAGGTTCAGAATATTGCCCAGAGTATTGTAGCCAGGAGCGCAGGGGCGCCTTCGGGTTCAAATGCATTGATCTGTACCTGTGCTCTTACTCCACACGGCTTCCTACTACAGAACATCTCACTAGTGATTAAGATTCGTACATTTAGAAATTACCCTTCATAAAAATGAAGTCTTTCTGCCAGTGGAGAGCTGTGTTGTTCATATTCTCTGTTGTCCATTTCTTCCTCGTCTATTTTTAACTGTAAAAGCCTACATAGGCAGCAAAGAGGATTGTGTAATCCAGCTCATGGAATCATACATTTACAGAGGAACATACTAAATGCTATTTGCATTTCATTATCGAAACGAATGATTTATCTATTCTTCCTCATTGAATTTTGCATTTGTACTTCTCATTGACTTCAGAAAAAGTCACTCCTGTCCACTGTAGGGCAGAGAATCATAGAAACACGACTTAAAGACATGAAATATAGCTCACTATGTTTGACAGTTCTAGACTCTGTTATAAATAAATAAATAAATAAATAAATAAAATAAAAATTTCTAAAATCAGTTTAATAAAATCAAACATGAAATTTCTTTATGCTAAGAGAAAGTAATAAACTATTATTGAGTAAAGGAAAGCAATTATTTTATAGTTTTTCATGACATGCACGTGATTTCTAATGTTGATTTATTTTTTAGGACTAGTTCTCATAAAGTTACACCTACTGGTTCATACATTTCCCATCTGAAGCTTTGTGATAAGCTTCATGGTTACCAAGTATTTGAGTCTCACTCAGTTGCTGTCTAGGTTTTTAAACTTGGTTGAATTTTCCAATATCCTCCAACAGATTAAAATTTGTCAAATAGATTAAAAACAGATAAAGAGCTAAATCAGTACAGCTCAAACCACTGAGCATGAAAACCACAGCTCCAGCTTCTAAAAACCTGAAACTTTCTAATTCGGAAAGCCTTGGATAAAAATCTTGAAATATCCAAGAGCACATTGCCATGTTACAAATTACAGCATTCTGTTCTCATAAGTTTTCTAACTGACTGCATGTCCTCCCTGTATAACTCAGAGTTTAATTTTTTACAATCTTTTTGTAACCACCATAACACTGTTTTCCAAAACCACATTGTGAGCCAGGCAAAACAAAAAACAGAGAAAGAAGGAAAATGAAAATGAGCCAATTCTATTTCCTCTTAGAGTGTATGTTTTATGAGGTTAAGGATTGTCTAGCACACTGTACCTAGGACAAGAGCCAGACTTAATGGGATTAGTGCAAAATGTGGGTCAAAGTCTACATGACAAAAATCATTGATGGACTATTTTATTTTTAAGATTTTATTTACTTATTTGAGAGAGAGCGAGAGTGAGAGAGAGAGCATGAGAGGAGAAAGGTCAGTGGGAGACTCCATCCTGGGACTCCAGCATCAGGACCCAAGCCAAAGGCAGTCACTTAACCCACTGAGCCACCCAGGCGCCCCTGGTGGACTATTTCAAAGTGAGGCTGGATTTGCCCTGGTTGAACTCCAGTATGACCCAAGCCTTTGGGAAATAGAGTTTCATCCATGAAAAGAGATTTTATATTTTTTTCATGATCAGAATCGAATTTGGAGTAATTATCCCTAGGGACTATAAAATTGTCTTTCTTTTTAAGAAAAAGATAGATTGCAAATATAAAATGATAAAAGGAATAGAAATGATTACCATACCTCTCCATTAAAGAAACAGAAAATTGTAGAAACCAGAAGACCCTGTAAAAGAAAAATAGAATTTTCTGATTCCAAATGGAAAAGATACATTATTTGTAACCACCTTGCTACATACAGAGTCAAAACCAAACCAAAGCTCTATGCAATTTAATACCAAGTTTCACAAGCCGCCTTCCTGATTCAAGAGTACCACACCTGGTAGTGCATAAGGATGTGCATGATGTAGTCGTATATCTCCTCCGCGATCCTCCCTTCAGGCCGCCACGGGATCAGCACAAACTCAATGCCGAGCAGCGGCACCAGGATAAGCGTAGCCCTCACGGCTTTCATGTAGAGACTGGATTCTGCCTGGTGGGTGACTTTTAGCTTGGTAATGAGCACACGTACAATATTCAATAGAAAAAAGAGATTGACCTGAAAGAAATAAAACGGCATATTGGAAACCACTTCATATTTAATATTAAGCACTTTTGAAGGGTTCTTTGATTTTATAAGTCATAGATTATTTTCAGTGTACACAAATATGTTCTACTGCAGAGATATACACCTAATATGTTAATTTGTGTTTCCAGAATTGTGATTTATTAATTTAACAAGCACATCAGTGTTAATGGACTTAGGTTTTACAAAAATAGAATTTATGGTGGAATTATTGCGGGACACATTCAGTTAAGGAACACCTGAGTGTTTTTCTCAGTTCATTTTCTGATGCAGTTTTTTCAAATTTTGCAATGATCCAAAAACTAAGTCTTTTGAACATTTTCAGCTGAAACAAAGAATTGTTTACAACAAATGCTAATTTTCAAGTGCCTCCTCTGCATCATTGTCCATATTAGTACTTTCCACATATGTATCATACCGTAATGATCATTTTTGGTTTTTTTGGTTTCTCTTTCCTGTGTTTCTTTTTGCGACAGTAACCTTCACAACTGCTCAAGATAGCTCCGTAAGCTGCTTTATCATTCCAAGGAGGCAGAGCACACACCTACCAGGTCATTTCAAACTAGATCATTCTCGAGTTAACAATTTTGGTCTCCCACGGGGCTTTCTGTGAGTTACATTCTTTAATTACATTTACTCTGTGTTAAAAACTTTCCCTAAGAGAAATCATTCTCTTTGAAAGGGAGTTAGAAAACGTCAAAGTTAGAAGGTGGGTAACTAAGTTCCTCAGGAAACAGAGTCTGCTTTAATACTTCTCATGCTCTCTCACCGTGAACACTGCTCACTGTCCCACGTTTATCCAAGTCAATACCTTTCGTGCTGCTCTGTTTTCTCTGGGCCCGTATTTTGCACCTTCCATAAGACTGTGGATATCAACTCCAGAAGAGCCCCTCCAGGCTCTTTTGTTATTATACTATATCCTATTTGCTTTTTGTTCACCCTGAATTCTAGAATCTGTGCTTCGATAATCTAAAACTTTTGAACTACATGCTGTAGGTAATTTATGTCTGCTTACCTCAGTAAATTGGAATAATAATGATAGCACCTCATTTAATATACAAAACAATGAATAAATAGCATATATTTGCTGACTTAAGGCACGTATTATGAAAATAACTGGGCATTAAAATATTCCACTACTATTCTTGGAGAATCTAATGGAACATATGCTCCCAAATTCACTACAATCCTGATGGAAACACATCTATGAAAAGTAACATGGTTGTAGGCACAGGAATGTCTCTGCTGAAGACAAAAGCAGAATAAGCCATTTCAACAGGTGTAAGAATGAAACATGACAAAACAACACACCAGCTGCTCTCCCACCCATCCTATTATAGTCCCTTCCTAAGCACTCATGGCTGTTTTAAAGTTTTGACTAAATGGAAATTACTACCAGCCCAAGGAAGAAAATATAATAATGCCCTTTTATCAGCTTACAAATTTAGAATATAAAATATTTTACAATCCTTATGTGCAAAAATCATAAATTATAAAATCAGTAGAAATGTTGCAATTTAGATGCTCATTCTTTGAAAAATCTCTAAATGCAAAGTGCTTTTCCAAAATGACAAATCTGATGTTAAAATGTGCAAGTAGGAAGTCATCCTCCTTTGTTGTACGCAAATACTTCCATTTATTTTGAATAGGAATGGAAGAAGAATTTTAAATTTCAGAAGAACTATATCTGAATTTCATCTGTCTTAGAGCAAAACTAGTTAAGGGGAAGAAAAGAAACCTGTTTTTGCTCCAGTATCATAAAGATCACGTAACTGGTAGGCACCGCAGGACATTTTCATATCATGATACCACACTCAGGTCATGAAAGGAAGCGGCGTACCCCAGCACAGCGACTGCGGGAGGCTTCCTAGAAGCCAACCCAGACTGGAACAGCCAGCCACCACTTACCCACGCAGCGAACTGACTTACAAACCCCTCACTGAACACAAATTAAACGTATCCTCTCTCAACTTCCCTTTGGCAAGAGCTCAAAAGTGCTGCAACCACTTGAATACCGTCCTGCTCAAGAGGAAATGTGACAGAGAAGTCTGAGTGGAAAGAAACTGATTGAGCTTGAAATATTTTATTTATAAAAGTTGTACTTAAGCATGTGACCATGTAAACAACTGCTCAGGCCCCTCCCAAGACCTTGGAATTGGCCAGAACCAGTGAAGAGCCCAAGAACCTAAACAACATGGAACAATTTATCCTGTTGGAAAAATAGGCTCCTGTTCTTTTTTTAAGCCAAGAAAATGGGAAATGTTTATGCGAAGAATGTGGATTTTCCCTTTCTTCCTTACAGAGCGGCTCGGTGGGCTGTATCTCCGTGTGCTGTTCCACTCTCAACTGTGCCCTCTACTCTGCCCTTCCGCGGACAGCGCGGGCGTGATTCCACTTGTCACTTGTCAGGTGCTTTACTTAGTTCCCTGAACCTCTCTGCTCTGGGCATTTGGACTGCGCCTCTGAAGAATGGCTCCGGTGTCCTGAATAACATTTTGCCTCCTACTTGTTCTGCAAGCTCCTGGGTGGCCCAAGCAGTGTTTCTTATTTCTTCGAACAGTCCTCAGAGCAGAATCGTGGTATCATGTAGAAATTACAAGAAACTTTTTAGAGCATTTTTGGGGAGAGTTTATTATATTCTAGGCACTGTGTTGATAAGCTAGACCTCACTTAATCCTTACAATGCCCCGTGTGGCATCTATTCTTATTATTCCCTAATCACAGAAGAGACAACAAAGGCACTGGGAGGTTAAACACAACGAGGTTAGGAGCACTCGGAGGTTTATACATGCCAGGCTGAGTCCTTTATAGTTATTAACTCCTTGGACTCCTTGTTAAAAATTTGAATTGTGTAAGACTGATGAATCACAGATCTGTACCCCTGAAACAAATGATACATTATATGTTAATTTTTTAAAAAGATTAAAAATCACTATTATCATCTTCTTTATTTCACCAATGAGGCACTTGAAATGCAGAGTGATTAGTTTAATTGCCTAAAGTCAAGCCCAGGCCTTCAACCTCCAGAAGTTTCTAATTGTGATGTGCTTTTGAGAATGGCTCAAACACAAGCCTACCATAATCGTACGCTAAACTGCAACTAGCAAATACAGTAAAATAACAGAAGAATCTTTGTCTAACAAGGAATTTGAAAACAAGGATTAGGAAGTTCTGAACTTTAACTGAGAAACGTAACACCTTTATGTGTCTCTGTACAACTGAATATCAGCTGTAATTATAATGTTGGGCATTAACTGCATTCTGGTCTCTAAGGCTTTATGAAAAAAAAAAAACATGTTAATGTGCATGAATTTGTTTCCCCACTGACACAACGTAATACAAGCGTTTCCCTGTAACCATAATTAAAAAGTTCCGATGGATGTATTCATATTGAGTGATGATCATGATCATAATGAAACAATACCTTCTTTTTCCAAATTAAAGTCTTCTTTTAATTGGACTGTTACTCTTACTACCAACATAGGTGTGTGGCTTTTCCCATTTGCCGTTCCCTCTCACTAGCTCTCTCCTCTGTCCTCCTCTGTTCTGCTCTGTGTCCTGGAGAACTCGGAGGCACCTCAAAGGACTGCACCCCTGCCCAGGCTTCTTGCTCTCTGACATGTGCTGTGTTGGCCAAAGGGAAGACCCGAGCAATCAGGGAAGAGAGAAGTCTGAGTCATTCCTCCTCCTCCTCGTTCCCTGCCAGGCTGTGGTCTGAGCAGCAGCTGTGTTTCCCGACTCGGGCCAGACCTCCTGCTGCGCCACACCTCCCAGCACCAGCCCAAACCCCACAACGCTGGTGTGTCCTCTCTTCAGGTCTAGAGCCGTTAACAGCTTCCTGCGGCCGGTCCCCAGTGCCTGGCCCTTCCTGACGAATTAGCTCCTTTCCTCTTCCTACCAACACTTCAAATTAACATCTTCATTAAACTCTCTTCAGTCAAACACTGCGAGCATGTCATTTACGTCCACCAGGACCCTGACGGATACCAAGGCCAGGTGGTTCAGGAAATAAAGTGGAAATGCGAGCAATGATGAAACAAGGGACATTTTCGTTACGTACCAGTAGCGCAGCACAAATCGGACCATGGATAATGTAGAGGAGATGGGTGTCAGAACTGATCCAGCAGCTTGGGGGGAAACAGCAAGATTATGTTGAGATTTTCATTTCACTTAGTTCCGGTAGAAATCAGAAAGAGAGATTATCTTACTTGTCATTGTAGTATAAGCTTCTCGCGACAGCATGTATACAAGCAGGGATCAGTGGAAATCCTGTAAATATCAAACAAAAAGAAAATGAACAGGCGACTTTCTCTGTAGATGCAATTCCTATAATGTGGTCACAAAACACGGATCTCAGAGGACTCCGGGAGCAAAAATAACTGGTCACTATACGCTTAATGAGTAAATATTACCTGTACAGTCAAGCAGTAAATATGGCAAATATCAGGTATTTACATATCCAGGTATGTGTGTCTTATGTGTGTTTTCTGCTAATAGAAGTCATTTTGAATCAGTGCATTTCAGAACCTAAGTCCATAAATGTGCTGTTTAAGCCCCAAGACTTAGAAGAAGTCAGGTGTATTTTCTATGATATGGAATCGGCCAGCATTTGTTTGGTCGATGGTCTGACGTGGGAAGAAGGTCAGACTGACCAAGTGAGAGGGATGGTTTATGTATTAGGTGTTTTTCACGTTTTTAGCGTTCTAAGTCAGATCTTTCCAACATGAAATGAAGAAAATTTTTTTTAAGATTTTATTTGACAGACAGAGATCCCAAATAGGCAGAGAGGTAGGCGGGCTGTGGGGTGGGGGTGTGGGAAGCAGGCTCCCCGCTGAGCAGACAGCCCGATGCTAGACTCGATCCCAGGACCCTGAGACCATGACCTGAGCCGAGGTAGAGGCTTAGCCCACTGAGCCAGCCGGGCGCCCCTGAAGAAATGTTTATGAAGATGAGCTATACTAACTGCACTGTATATGCTGAAGCATGTGTGCTCACCTTTACGTATCTGTGTCTGTCTGTGTCTGTTGTCCGGCTGGATAAGCCGACGGACATATGAGAGATGAGTGTAATTTCAATTATATTTCTGGAAACTAGTCCAGCTGAATTCATTTTCAGCATTTCATATTTTGAATTATTCTGGTTGTTTTTAAAAATACACCAGAGGCACAAATCAAGAACAGTCTCTTAATTACAGAGAACAAACCGACGGTTCCCAGAGGAGAGGTGGGGGTGGTGACACAGGTGCGGAACCTCGGAGTGCAGTTGCAGGGTGATGTACGGAGGTGCTGAACCGCTCCATCGTACACCAGAAACTAATATAATACTGTGTGTTAACTAACTTGAATTAAAATTAAAACTGAAAAAACGGGAAAATACGTTAAAAGTGTATCATTTGCATCGCGAAGAATATTATGTCAGGAGCTTGTGTGGAAAAATAGAACTTTTGTGCGCCTTTATTCAATTACTGCTCCCTCTGTTCTTAAGATAAAATGACATTTTTTAAAAAAACCAACTTTTTTGGACTGGAATTTCAAAGCCGGCTAAGCTAAATGCCCTCATTTTGCACAAAGGAAAAAGGAGAGTTGAACAGTATGAAGACCTGACCCCTAATTCGTGATTCCAGTTCTATCGTTAGCCGCTGCACACACAGCCAAGAGACACACTGAGAGACTAATAGAAAAAACCCCAACAACATTGTATTATTGACCTGCGACTGTGAAAACAGTGAGTCAGTGGTTCTTGGTTTAAGTATTTCAATTTACAGCAATAAGCAAAGGTTAATCACCTGATGTTGTTTAAGAATGGTTAATAATAAGTATATTTTTGTTACAAAGGAGTTCTGCATCCCCTACGAGCTTTCTTAAAAAGTGAGTCAGCGGACACCCATAAGGCACTTACCCCAGCCCAGAAAATAATACCACATCAAGTGTTGCTTCTCTGCAAACACAGCCACCACAATGAGTGTGTGTAGGTAAATGCCTTCACAGAGCATCCAAAAGTAGTTACAGCCCATTAGGTAAAGATGAATGAACTGAGACACTTTACAACTAACCTGTGAGAAAAAAAAGAAAACCATCAATATTTAGTTCATGGATTCGCATGTAAAGCAATGGTCTAATTTAGGTTAGTTACATAGAAACATGGAACTTTCTCTCCTCTGTGCGAAATCTTATATACTAATGATAATGATTTGTAAAATGCCAGTCTTCATCCTGATCTGATGGGGCTTCTAAAGTTTTTAAACACTGACTCTAAAGATTTATAATGGTAAACCTCCCAGGAAATGTGTAAATTCCAAATTTATTACAGCTAGTGGACATGTATTTTCCAAATACATCTTTTCATGAAAAATGGTCAATAATTAAAAATCTTCCATATTACTGCTACCAATGCAATTACTTCATAAATAATAACCTAATGGGCTCATATTTTATATTATTCATATATGAGGTTGATGATTTCATGTAAGTAAAAAGAAGAAAAATTATGGTTTCCTTCCTCTTTTCCTGAGATATCCACTTTCTCTTCTCTATTCTTTAAGAGATCGGAAGAGGAAGCTTCAATACAGGGTAAAATAAGCATGAAGGAGTAAGAGATATATTTTGCTTCCTTAGAGAGGAGAATAAACTTAAAACTCTCTCAGAAATATGTGGCCAGTTACTCCCAATGGCTCTAGTCTGGTCAATAAATATTTAGTGGCAATTATCATTATTTGTGAAATAAATATTTTCTTCACTAAAAAGAAAATTGGAAGAGAGATACGCTAGAAAATAAATATTGGGTTCTCATAGAACAGTAATCATGACATGTGCCTATTAGTTAGCTTAAAATATTTTTAATATGTTACTTTATTTAATCTTGAATTCTGTATGGCATGATTTATCGTCATATATTTTACAGATAGAAAACTGAGAAGTTAAGGTATTTGCTAATATTCACACAACATCAATCAAAGCTATACCCTGAACACAAGTCTTGTAACTCCAATTTTGTTTTCATGATTACACACAATGCCTTCTGCCATAGGACATTTCTAAAACCCATTCTTCCATTAAACACATTGGCAGAATGCATGACATTAGACTTTAAGTACCTTGATGTCAAATATCACGTTATATTAACAAAGTCTTTCTTCTCAAGGGTAAAAATGAGTTATTCAGCTATATCATATAGAAATAACAGACTTCCGTTTCAGATGTTTATCTAGAAACATTTTTATTTGGAAACAGTTTTTAGACATGCATATCTAATTGGGCTTCTTACTCCTGATTTCATGTAAAAAATTTGTCTGTAAGCCACTATGATAAAAAGAACTTAAAACGTGCTTCAGAAAAGTGTTTTTATGAAGGGCATTGCTGATATAAACAAACATAACAAATTTTCCAAGAATATATTAAAAATATATTACAGTTTGCAATTTGTACGTTAAACACAAGATCCTTTTATCTAATGTGAGCCTTAGAATCTCTTCTCCTGCAGCTTCATGGCAAAACTTCTGATCTCGTTGCTCTAGAGAAAATCACTCTAAAGCGGTAGGTCATCGGCCCGTTTTTTTATGTTGCTAATTCTATCCCAGGGTGTTTCCTCCCCCAGTGACACTGGAGTGGAACATACAACGAGATTAAGCAATCCGGATACACATGTGCAAACAATGCAGGGAATTTTAGGATTTTGGAAATTACCCTAAAACACACGTAAAACACCTAGGAAAGTATTGTTTATTGACCCACTGAGTGAAAATTCCTTCCCTTCCGTGATTTCATTAACTAGATAACTTAATCTTTAAAAAAAACTACTTTATGTACTCCATATATAAACACTCTTCCACAAATCCATATCCAAAACTGTAGTATGGATATTGTAAACATGATGAAAGCAGATAATTTTAAGTTCTTGAAAATACGTTTGTTATTTATGCAGATACTTTAGATACAGCTCACATATGCATATAGTTTGCATAAAATATATACACTTATATAAGTACATTTTAGCTTAAGTTTTAAAATATGGCTTCTGTATTATGACAGTCTCTGTACTTATTTTTATGTATCTTTTGATACTCATCCTAAAAATCATGCTTCCAGAAACAGACCCCAAAATACAGAGAACAAACTATGTAAGGTTACCAGGGATGCAGGGTAGGGGAGCGGGAGATGGGCAAATTGGGTAAAGGGGAGTGGGAGATCCAGGCTTCCGGTAACGGAGTGAGTAAATCACGGGAACGGAGGGCACAGCACGACACTACAGTCAGGATACTGTGCCGGTGATGGATGACGGATGATGGAAGAGGAGTAGCTATACCCGTGGTGAGCAAAGCGTCCAGCTGTTGAATCGCTAGGCTGTACGCCTGAAACTCATGTGACATTGTGTGTGAACTATGCTTCAGTAAAAAAAAAAAAATTAAAAGAAAAACAAATTGTGCTTCCAAAGGGATTATAAGGAAACAATTTATAAATATTTGCGGAGATACCAGGACCTGGTTTAAAGGACTCTACCAGGTCCTGGTATTTAAATATTTAAAAAGTCCTTTAAAATTTCATGTTAAGACACTTTAACATTACATAGGGGATGTACAATTCATTTTCCCCTGGTTTCATTAGCTATTTAAAGTCACTTGATCCCAAATATGTAATTTAATTAAAATTTTTCTGTTTTCATGCCTTGTGTTTTCTAACGACATCTGTAGCTAGTTGTTTTGATTGATTTTTTAAATTCTACGGACTATATGTTACATGTTCATAAACCCTTATGTCCCACCAGCAGGAAGACTCTAGCCATAAAATGAGGTGAAGATGTGTATAACATGTACAAATAATTGAAGCAAGAAATGTCTTCCTCCTTTTCGTATTCAACCTCTAGAGCTTGGAAAGGTTGGGATGTGTTCGCCTTTGCAGACTAGCGCACAGGTACAGCAGTCTCCGGTGCCTGACCTTCAAACGTATACGTGGGTGCTGACCCACATCTACGTATGTCAGGACCCCTGCCCGTTACCCCGCCCTCCACCACCTTTCACGTTTCCTTCCCTCTAACCTCTTGAAGCTAAAGGCACAACCTCGTCGTACTTACAGGGTTTGTGGCCACTAAAGCCTGGTTGTTGGCCACTGCGGTGAGGTGAATGATTGTTACAACAGAGTTACAAACGAAAGAGAAAAACAGGTTTTTGTGCAAGGTAATCCTTTGGCAACTTAAGCTCCTAAAAGGCAAGAGAAACCAAATATTTTATTTTTATTAATAATCATTCAAAGAAGATACATTCACAATTCATAGTAGGTGCTCCAAATCTGGAAGAATTATTTTATTCTCCCCAGACCGACTCATGATAAAATCTTGATTAGGGAAAACCTATAGTTCCTTAAAAGAGAGACAAACGAGTTGTTTCAGGACAGGTAGACATTCGTGAGAATAGAAAATTGCCCATACAAGTCTTCTACATAAATTTCTTCTGTGAATCTCTCAACATGATTAATATTTTGATCTATTCTGAAAATGTAGAAACTCAGGCTCAGAAAAGTTAATTGAGCAAAAGATCCTGCCGGTAATCAATTTGAAAACCTTGGATTTGTCTGTCAGAATCTTACACAGAAAATGCTGTTTTCATTATACCACATAGGTTGTTCTATTTATAAAGCCTGTTTATGAATGTTTATGTAAGCAAAATGAGGGCGCCTGGGTGGCTCAGTGGGTTAAGCCTCTGCCTTCGGCTCAGGCCATGATCTCAGGGTCCTGGGATCGAGCCCCGCATTGGGCTCTCTACTCAGCGGGGAGCCGGCTTCCTCCTCCCTCTCTGCCTGCCTCTCTGCCTGCTTGTGATCTCTGTCTGTCAAATAAATAAATAAAATATTAAGAAAAATAAGTAAAGTGAAACGCTAACTGTAGTTCATTGAAAACAATTTTAATTTTTTGTGTACACTTAAGCTTCCTTTTCTCCTCTATGATAGTATATATTTCTGTTCCTCTCAGAATTCCCACTTTTCTGATGACTCTCCTCCCACCTCAATCTGGGTTGAACGTTAAGAACTTAAAAATGAGTTGCTGGCATCTATGCTCTTCTAAAGATGTAGTCATCATAGGTCCACTAGCAAAAAAAAAAAAAATTAAAAAATTGCTTTTTACTCTCTTACTCTGTGGTAAATGGATATACTGCATCTTCCCCTTTGAAAGCCAAAACAATGCCATATTATGGGCAAAGTTTTGAAATAATAAAATGAAATCTTATTGTAAGTAAAATATTTAATATAAAAACCAAACAAATACTTAAGAGGATTCATGGAATCATTTCAGAATACAAAAATAAAGTTTATTTTGAGTGTTTTATAAAATCATCTACCTAATATGGGCAACATAGATAATCTAGCCTGTATCAATGCAAACCAAACACTTCTGCTTTAGAGACCTTGGTATCCCTTTAGCTGTCATATGGTTGTGTCAAACTGAGCCATTGCGAAATAGATGGACTTTGTGTTAGGTGTGTCCAACTATCTATAATATTAGCCTATGGCTATTGTTTTGGTTTCTTCCATCTTCCTCTAGGTTCTGTGCAACTTAAATGCAGACAGATGCTATCTGACATACGTTTTCTATCGATGTCTAATGGTAAAAATGCTCAGATTTTTCTAGTTACGCATGTTGTTTTTCTCTAAACATATTCATTAACACATGTAAGTTCATCAGTATGAATAAAATCAATTGGTAAATGGAAACCGAAATATGAACTTGGTAATAAACACATTGGTTTGTTTGAATAAAACCCTAAGAATATCCAGGTATTTTTTCAGATGTTAACCTGAAACCAGTTCATCTACTCTAAATTTTAAAATGTACTTATTTTACTCAAAATATTAAAACAATTGTTTTATACACTTGGAGATTTTTTTACAAAAAGTTCTCTGCTTGCCTTATGAGTTATAATACCTCTTTCTATCCGAGCATAACCACAGAATAGAAAATGTGGTTTGTGGGTTTGGGTTGTCTCCGTTTCATATTTTTACATACAATTATTTCAGAATACTGTTTCGGTATGCTGTTTGACAAACAGAGCGGTAGAGGCAGCTAACGTAAGCGTGTCAGCAGTCCGTCACTCTCTGCGTGTAAGGCCTCCACTCATTTCTGTTCTCTTTCGGACCAGTTAGGCGTGGGTAGCATCCAGGCAGACACATACTTCAAAGAGGGTTTCGAAATGGGCCTGAGACTGCATATGAACTATGTTAACTCCTGACACTATGACTTCAGGAAAGTTATTTGAAAACTCTAATCCTTAGTTTCTGCATCTGTAAAATAGGGATAACAATGGTACTTCATAGGACTGGCCATAAGGTGAAGTGAGATTAACCATGTCTAGTGCTCAGCGTAATATCTCAGCCATGTTAAGTGAGCTATTAATTTTTTAAACATAGTTATCGTATGGCTGATTTTTGTCAAGTTCTCTAAGGGTTTTCTCTCAGAAATTATAAAATAGCATCAAGGGTCACCTTTGTAATCTAAAACTGTCCATATTTTACGTAGCACAATGAAACAGTGAATTGCCATCTTTTTGTTACAAAGCAAAAGAATTTAGCACTGGAAAGACAGTTTCCTAGGATGAAGGGTGATAGATAAGCAAACTGACTTGTTTCCCAAGGAATTTCATCCTTCTCAGAGTTGTCTCCACATCACTACTTTCATTCTCATACAAGCCCCAAGTTTGAAAGACTTACTTATTTAAGAAACACAGAGTAAGCACGTGGAGGGGAGGGGCAAAGAGACAGAGAGAGGGACCATCTCAAACGACTTCCCACTGAGCCTGGAGCCCAACGCAGGGCTCCGACGTGCCATCCTGAGGTCATGTCTTGAGCCGAAATCAAGAGTAGGACCTTAACCGACTGTACCACCGGGGTACCTCATACAAGCCCCAAGTATTTATGCGGCTCCATATTCAAACTTCTGCCACAACATGAACAAAATACTTGCCTTTGTTTCCCATTTGGATGTGAGGTAGAAATTTCCAGATTACTTTCACTCAGTACTAATCCTAAGCAAAGCCAATGACAAAAAGAGCAAATACAAGCAACGTAAAAACTGCCCAGGCTACCGAGTCCTGCTTTCTTATGCGAGCGTAACTGATTGAGTTTCCTAATGATGAGCCGAGTTCCCAGGAACGCACTAACCACGTATCTGGGAGGAAAGCTCGTGCCAGTTGGAACACTGCCAAAAGAGCAGGCAGAAGGCAATCAATGTGTTAAAAGGAAACACAGTGCAGCCATCTTCTGCCTACTGAAGGGGACACTGAGTCGACGGGTTCACCTGGTTAGGTGTGACCTAAGGTAGACACGAGCTCTACCAATGGCTCCTCCGAGGCTGCCGGTGACCCTCTTGATCAGGTTAGAGAGAGGACAAGAGTGTCAGCCAAGGTGGTCAGTGGAAGTCCTGGAGGGATGTGGTTGCTCTTGCTCCGTCACACTCCCTCCTCCCCCACCCCTGCCTTTCGCGGCTCCTCCGTTAAGACAGCTGATGGGTATGGGCTGCAGAAGGAGCAGACGGGCACCTTTCATGGGGCCAAATGGCTTTCTCATGTGTGATCTGCCCCACGCGAGAGCAGGGCAGGAAACCAAGGGAAGAAATGGGCTTTCTGAATACCTGTGACTCTTACACTCCCCCAAATTTCAGAGATAAAATTCATAATAATAGCTGCTACCATTTATTGAGCTTTTAGAATATCCCAGACACAGAGGTAAGTACTTCACATTCATGAGGCCATATAATAACCCCTTGAAGCATCATTATCCTTTAGTCAAATGTAAGTACGTTGCTCCAGATTACAACCCTATTAAGTCATCTGCTGGATTTGAATGTTGCATTTAAAGAAAATTTAAGGTTTTTGTCTCTTTTAATATTAATTTGATCACTATAACTATTGATGCATAAGTAATATATTGTACACTATCTCTAGATTTTGAGGAAACACTTCTGAATATTATAGATGTCATTCACGTGGCAGTAGGGGACAAATATACAAGTTACATCACATAATTTCTGATAGTGTTATATGCTTTTTAGTAATTAAAATAGGATTAAGAAATAAAGACTGTAGCCAGAGGGGAGACTCAAGATGGAACTGAAACAGAAGATAGGGGAGAAAAGCATTGCAAGCAGATTAAGAAGTTACTCAAAGTCAAAGTTCAAAAAAAAAAAAACATTGAGCTTAGAGTTTTTACAGGGCACAAAGAACGATGTGAGTAAAGACATGGGCAAGACTCCACATTGTTTTTCTTTCCCTATTCTAAAATGAAGAAAATTGAAGAGCATAATTTACTAAAAGACTTTTTGATTATAAAGCTCATACTCATTTGGGTTACATTTTAATGTTCTAGCAGCAAAGGTTAGCAGCATACTATCCAGTCACTCCCGGGTTCTGTCTTCCCGAACTACTACAAGGATGCGGCACGTCGGAGGACTGACTGTGGTTTCTCCTCTTCTGTAGTCATGTCTGTGGGTACAGTCTAGCAAAATAAACTGCCCACAAGAGTAAAAAACCCAGTTGCAACATACATTATGACTTTGAGGAGGGCAATGGAATAGTATTTATGTTCTCTAGTTCAAATCATGAAGTTTTAATCCATTCCAGTGACTGTCCTTTTAACCTCAAGCAATGGATCATTTGTTTTCTTAAAAGGACTTGTCATTCTGTTCCCATGAAAATGTAGTTATGCTTAAATAGCACTTATGTTTCAACTTGTTCAACAAAATAGATTACACTTACAAAGAAGTTGCATATTTATCAAAAAAGATTAACAGGAATATGTGACCTTTACCATTCAGTTATAGCTTTAAATAATAAATTTGCTGTTTAAAATAAGTCCAAAATCTTTAATTCAGTTATTTACTTTATATCTCCATACTTGGGACTCCTCACCGCAACCCAGTGACAGCGGTTACATTGTAGCGGAAGTGGTTTTTGTTAGAGTAAATCCCTTAGTTCTTCTGCTCTCGCCCTATTCAGCTCGGACACTAATGCGGAATTACAGGGCTTTATTACATAATCGCAGCGAGCGTTTCTGAAAAGCTTTCCAACTAAGACTTTTCAGTTCTCACCATGTTTAGTTTGAGGGGGATAGACGTTTCAGCACATTGTTCGAAGTTCATTAATTTGGAAATAGACTGAGTATGATCTAATAAAATGTTACATGAAAAATTATGGTGAATTAACCAATATTCAAT